GATAGGTACATGAAATTATATTTTAATACTCTGTTAATTTTTGCACATGATTGAAAATTTCCACTGTAGAGCATTTGGATAAAGAAAGTACTTAGGAGTCATAATATCCAAAACCAGTGTGTGAACACCCAGCTTTATGAGACAATTGTTAGGAAAATTGAAGATACTTGACTTTAAACTTGGAAATAGTTTTGGAAAATTAATTTTGGTAAGTGTGATCATGGTAAGTGGAAAAATGTCTCTGTATTTTAGAGGTACATCCTACTGCATACAGAAGCAAATATCATGATCTTTGTGACTTACCCTAAAATGTTAAAGCAATATATGTAACAAACAATGTGGAAAGATGTTTATCATAAAATCATAATTAAGGGTGTTTCTATTCTTTTGTGTATTTGAAAATTTTAATAATAAATCATTAAACAAAGAGAAGCCAATGGAGCCATATTACAAAAATGCAAAGGGAAAACAAATTTATAATTTTGTACCTACAAAACCACTCAGAATTGAGGCAAAATATAAAATTATAGATAATATAACTCACTTTCCACATACTGTTATGTTCACTTTTTCATCCATGATACTGATTATCTTGGGCACCTGAATTTCGACCTCAAACTTGGGAAGCACTGTTAGAAGAGATAATATGAATAAAGAAGGTGGTAAACATTTATTGGAAATACAAATAATTTCAGTGTATCAATGATTTGTCCCAAAATGATACCCTGAATGTTAGATTTATTTTTCAATGTATCAACTTTAAGATGGTAAGGTTTATCAGTTCATGCAGAATCTAACTGACCACTTGAGCACAGCAGATCTCAGTGATACTAACAAATGACGGTGGTTTCACTGAAACAAGAAGTTTCATACTTGGCAAAGCATAATTTGCTACTGAAAATCAGCAAGTTCAGTAGCTGATTAGCTAACCCTAATAGTCTTCAAAGCAGGTGTGTTTGACTCTACTGCAAGTTCAACATACCTACGGGAAATTCAAGGGATCTAAGTGAGCTCACACTCTAGCAATCAAAACATCATGCCTTTTTCATCTTCCATAATCCATACCAAATTCCTCCACGGTGAAGGGGTGCTCTATCCTTCCACCTGATTCTGTGTGTACCACCACCTTGTAGGAGCCCTGAATGGGTTCTGATGATAGGGGAAATGACAATTGATTGAGGCCACCCTCTAGCTTGAGATTCTGCCATTGTGCAACTCGATTTCTTCTTGGATTCTGAAGGTAAACAAGAAGCATGGGGAGTAATCATTTAGTCACAATAGTCCTTGAGCATCTCAAATGATTTTGAGGGTGATAATTGGCATTGCCTCAGGAAAGACAAACACAGAAGGAAGAGAAAATACAATCAACCTGACAACTGGGAGTGGGAGGAATTCAGATCTGGAAGTTTTTAGAGTAGTTCATCTGTTTGAAATATTATCAGAACCTCCTACTCTCTAAAAGTACTAATTTCCTTATAAGATATTTTTTCTGATACTTACCTCAAGGTATATCAGTGGAATCTATATGATAAAAGGAAAGAAGATATGTGATTAGAATTCCAGCAAAGGCTACAATTTCAGACTTGTGATCAAACAACTTACTGAGGAAGAATCCTATCTGTAGCTAAATTCAACAAGAAACATCACAGAATTGAAAAAATCTCAGAGAAATTATTCAATAGTTCCAGGATGAGCATAAACAATATATTCCACTATTATGTGCTGCCATTTTCCTGAAAATTATTATTGTAAATGTTATTATTGAATCTTTATGTATGAATATTATTTGGATACTAAAATTCTCCTAGTGAATAATATGACCAACTGATTACTTTCATAAATTAAGAAATAAATATTAATAGAGTTATATGTCATTATAATTTAAACCTAACAGAAAGATAATTCCCAGAATTATTTGGTTGAAAGCAAACCAAGAATATTTCTTCTAATTTTAACATTGTCTATTTTCCGTCTGTTAAAAGCAGCTTTGTTCCTCTGCATTAATATTGAAGGTGAGTTGAAAAGAGGGAAATTCAATTAGCATAAAAAATCTTTGTGTATAATAGATGCTATACTATGTGTATAGATTATATAATAAAATTGTAATATATTCGATTGTGTATACCTGTATATTCAGAAAAGTATAATTCTTTGTTGCTTTTTAAATCATAATTCATTGAAAGTATGAATATGAATAGTGCCTCTTTTATGCTTCTTCATTATTCTTAATGCAGTGTGTTCAGAGCAATACATGTCGCTATTGCCAGACTGATTAACTACTGTTATAAGAGAAAGAACTTCCTCATCTGTTGTCCCTCAGTTTTGTGTTGTATAAGACTGCAAATCTGTGCTGGGGCTGGAGCCAAGTTCAAAAACAAGTGTCTTTCATCCCCTTGCTTTTTTGTACCTTTCTACCCCACTCTGGATGAGTTTTCCCACTCTACCCGCTCCTCCCCATCACCCGACCCAAACTATAGATGTTGGATGCTTACCAGTTCATTTTGAGGGCGAAAATTTTCATCCACAGAGACAACACGGAATCTTACTGAAAAAGTAGTTCTCCGATAAGATTCAGACACAATAAAGCAGGTAATTTGGGTAATAAGACAGAAAGCTACGGGGCTAGGATAATGGAGACTTTGGAGGCTCAGGTGACCCTTCCTTCTCAGTGTTGGCCCAACCTGTGGAATTTCCCTACATACCTGTCTGTCCTGGTTTGTAGATGGGTTTGTCTGTCTGGACAAAGACCAAACTTTGGGTGTTCTTTACCAGAACTGTGTTCCTCTTCCTGAAATCTTGTGTAGGCCCCTTTATCTGAATGCTAAGGAACACCACCTCTGATGAGGCTGAGATCCTTGGGAGCTAAAAAGCAAAGGAGTTTTTACTACTGAGGAACCGTGCAGTCTTCTCCCTCTGCGTGCTTCAGTCATCTTTATTTCCTATCTCTCTTTCAGCTTCAGCAAGGAGCAGGAAAATATGAATATTTCTCCAGACACAAGAGTGAAGCTATTACCACGAGACAGAGGAACCGTATCAGTAAGAGCAGCCGTCATTAGAACCCAGATCTCTGTGCAGTTCACCTAGAGCTCTAGTTATTAAATTAGAT